GGGAGTTATTTATATACAACTTTGAACCCAGCGATCGTCAATTGTTTAATGATGCAGTTATGAAATTCGGTCTCCTACAACCTGGTATTATTCCGCCCCAAAATTGGCTTCCATCAGCTTTATATCGTAAATCTCACCTTCATCTGTTTGGTTATGTCGACTTATACATGAAGCATCTATGTGGTGTGACGACCGATGTGCTTTAGATTATTCGAAAGAAACATGGTCCGATGGTTTACCTAAAGAACACCTGTGCGTTCCTGCTGTGCTATCACGTATTGCAATGCTGGCTCTTATTAGAAACAAAGTGTTAGAATATATAGATATAAACGATGCAAGAAGTATTGCTATTGATGATGAGTATTCTGAATTTAAATTTAACATAAATGAAGTTGGCTTATCATTATTGCGTTGCGTTCTATGTGGAATGATGAATGTGCACAAATCAACAATATCTGTCAAACAATTTGCTCCCAATCACAGATGGCTGGAGACTCTGAAATGATACTAAAGACTCAAGGAATTTGGCAATTCACGTCATGATTATTGGTTGCTTGCTGGTATACTTGTTCATTTATATGCCAATTGGGATGATATACTGGCTGATCCACGTTTCGTTATATTAAAATTTGGAGTGTCTGGTGTAGTAGACACTGTGAATAGACTTATGAATTCTGAATTAACAACTGTACACCTGTACGTACTCCCTCAGGAGATACTGAATCTCATGCCTTTTTAACGGATCGTTTAAAATTAATTGAGCAAGCTTTAATTATCGGACAATCTTTATATGAAGTTGCTGTTACCAGCAGCACAGACCAGACATCATTAGATTCAGGTCGTATTAAAGATGTAGCTGTTAATTTATCTAACAAATTAATTCTATCGGATACCTATAAATGGATTGTTTTACCCAAGTATTCAAAAGCAAAAGAAGCAACACGTACAGCGGTATTAACTAAATCACATTCATCACATGGCATATATAAGAGATCTTCAGTACTGACAGCGAGGGCATATGTGGTCATACACTTTACACGTAGACAGTTAGGTGAACTCACTCCTGAGCTCTTTCTAGGGTTGTACTAAACATACGTCAGACCACACCTTGAAGTGCATAATATTATTGCACCCCCACTGCTTAGAAGAGACGCCAACCTCTTAGGAAGAGTCCAACGACGGACAACAAAAGAAGTGGTTGGTCTCCGAAATAAACCATATGATGAAAGGCTGAAGGAATTAGGCCTATTCACACTTAGCCACCGACGTCTTAGGTGGGGGGGGGGATGATTTAATTACTGTCTACAAAACAACAAATGACCGGAATCACCCAAACAAAGGTGTTCTGTCATTGAGTAGGTACAGGCTCCCTCGTGGAAATCCTAGAAGGATAGCTCACCAGGGGCCAAGGACCCGGGTGCGCTCCCACTTCTTTTCACTGCGGGTTTGCCGACCCTGGAATTCCTTACCGGCCGATGTAGCTGTGGCACCGTCTGTTGACACCTTTAAGCGATGACTGGACAACCACAACCAAAGACTGCATCCAAATGGTCTATCCCCTTAAAATCGCATACACCATTCAGGGGTAGGCAATTAAACTTGTCGTTTTACTTCTTTGCATTCTCTCCCGTCTTATTCTCCTGACAACTTTAACTACAGCTATTATTATTATTATTATTATTATTATTACCGATATATATAATTCATATTATCCTTTAAATTTAATCAGCTGACTGTTGTTACGTTTTCTTATTTCTTTTTCTGTCTGTCAATCTGAATAACTTCAATAATTATATCTGATATTATTATTAATATTATCTCTTTTCTTTTGATTAGGATATTGGAGCGCTAACTGGTGGAAGGATCAACTGCATTCACATTAGTAGCAGTCTTAACACACGTCAAACTAGAAACCGCATATAATTAATTCCAGGACTACTCCTTCTGGAGTCAACCAAAGCTACGACAGTCGAGTGGCGGGACGAGCTAATCAGAAGTTTACCGAAGAAGACCAGGAACCTATACCTCACAATCAAGAGGCGAGCACAAAGAAATCAAATTGGTTTATACTACCTCGCAAAACGATATTGGATATTGGATACCTGTGTAGGACACACCAATTGTACAGGTATGGATAAGTATTATTTAAATTACATAAATTTGGTTTATGGTTGAATTACATGGTTACTGATGTTTTTGTCTTTGGTTTGTGGGAAAAATATGATAACCAGTCATTTAATGGAGCACATCAAGAAATATAGAAATATTGTCTTCGCATTAACAAAAAACCCAAGTATGTTTTGGATGGACTAAAACACATGGGGAAAAAAATAAGGCTTGAAGTAATTCCCCTATTTAACTTTGGTGTGTACGGTATCGAGTCTTATTCTTGATTTATATCCAATTTTGGTAATAATTTAAAATAAGTGGTGTACTTGTATAGTTTTGTCAGCATTTTCATCGTAGCATCACGAATGAATTGTACTCAATGTAGAGTGATAATAATGATAGTATGTATTTTCTTATAAACGGGTGTTTTCAAGAAATGAAGCCATTTTTACAGATACGATCAGTTATGTTATAAGTTACATTCGTGAAGTTATATTATAAATTAATACTTTTTCATTGGTATAAAGGTATGTTCCACAACTGTAATCCAGGTTGCGTTGTGGGGGAAGGTAATGCGTAATTCACAAAGGAATTGTAAGATATGGGACGAATAATGTTCGCAGATTACTTGTCGTGGTAAATGGTCAAATATCCACATTCTTCATCCTCATTCAGAAAGTCAAATGGAAGCTAAAATGGTGAGACAAAACAGAAGACAAACAACAGCAACGTAAAAGAAAGCAAGAGGAGTCCTTAAGGAGTGAATAATAAATATATACATGCATATTCTGTTTAGTAACTATGGCTATTTTGGTACACTAGCTTACTAGTTCCGTTATGCTAACTTTTATATTATGTGTGAACTAATATTATCGTACTGTGTAGAAATGTTTATCATGTAGTTCCAATAGTATTAAAATTTATAATTGCAGTTTGTTGTAACTACACGTTTAGTGAAACTAAAATATCTGTGAAGGGTGAAAAAGAGGGTGTAAGAGTCAGACGTAGAAGTGCATTGTCATCTTTGGGCAGTCTGGTGACTGAGGAGATGAACACTGGAATTGTGTTTGCATCACGCACATCAGCTGGTGGTCTATTCCAAATGACTGAAAACTTATTTAAGAAGAAGTTGTACCGCATGTAAGTTTGACAATGCTCTATAGCAGCTAGGTTGTGATGATTTCTAAGATTGTAACTGATGACAGTGGTAGATTTAGTTATTGGCTCAGGAGGAGTGCACGGAATAACTTCCCTGTAGATGTTCCAAGAAAACCTCCCCATCTCTCACTGAGTGACTCCATTGCAGACCAGGACGAAACTAGCTAGTGAATGGATTGATGACCCTGACAAATGTATTTACAGAAATTGGTTTAACATGACTATGAGGACCCCTATGAGAAGTTTGGAATTTTTTAAAACATGCAAGAATATTATCCAATGTAATAATTTTTTAACAATGCATTACTTGTACTTGGACGTTTATTTCAAACTGCACACTTCTACTTCTTACGCATCTGATTGGTCGCTAGAGGTGGCTTCGTTTTGGGCTGACACAGCTTAGAGTCACCCTGAATTTAAACAGAACTTGAGGCCACTTACGTACATATATCACATAATTCTTCAAGCTGTTGTTCCATAATAACTTAACATCCTTAAAAACCCCTATGTCATCATATGAGGATGTTGAATACTGTTCTGTACGAGCAGTATTTATGACTTAGATTGAATATGCAACTGATTTACAGACGGTTTTCGAAATCTTAGTCAACATTCGCGCACAAACTACCATGCAGCTACAAGTGGCTGTAACGGGCGACTTTGAAGAACCACCACCCTTCCGGTCCAGTAAAACAAATCTGCATGGTTATGGTAGATATTTATCTGCATGGTGTACGTTTCACTTTTGACGGTACCATATGATGACACTCCTGAATAAGTGATAAAATTATACTACTCAATTTAAACTAAGATACCATTTGACTGTGAATTAAGAATAGGATTCAACGCCGTACACAGGAATGTGGCATGGGAAAATTGAATTCACGCTTCATTGTTTTCCCAGGATTTTGTGATTCGGACAACATTATTGTTATTATTTCCTTTATTTCCTAGAGCAACATGGGGTTTCAGCATCACGTCTCCATTGCTTTCGGTTCTGTGCTAACGGTTTCACCTGGCTCCAAGTCTGCCCGCACGCTTTCATCTTTTCTTCACGTGACCTCCTCCAAGTCACCCTTGCACTGACGACCAACTCGCCGATTCCCTTTCAGGCTACACTCGAGCAATGGCTTGTCTAGTGATGTCACTTGATGGTTTCCTCAGCGTATGGCCAATCCACCTCAATTTCTTCCTGCCTATTTGTTTCACAATCGGTTCCTGCTGGGTTGGTTCGCCCCCAGAGATCCCTGTTGCTGATCTTTTCTCGAAAACCATCTGATCTTGAGTAGTATCGAGAGAAGACAGCTGTTGATGAAGGTCTGTAGTTTGTGTGAAGTACTCTTTATGACGCGGTGCCAAGACTCTGATCTGTATAGTAGCACTGACTTCACATTGGAGTTGAAAATCCGGACCATATTTTCATTTTCATGCTGAGCGTTGTTGATCTCCACACACACTTGATAGTAATGAAAGCTTGTCCTCGCTGCTGTGATATCCTCATCAAATTCGTCCGCCTGTAGTTGAAAGAATGCTTCCCAGGTAGGTCGGTAGGTAAAGGAGGTTGTCTCTTTAAGGTTCCTTCCATTTATGCTGACTGTCATCTGTTGTTGTTGTTGCTGTTGGCCAGGAAGCTTCATCACCTCTGTTTTATCTATGTCCACTTGCAGTCCTATCTTTGACGCTTCTTCTGCCAGCTTGTTGCTTTTCACTTGCATATCTTCCAGTTTATGGGAAATCAGACATATATCATCGGCGAAGACCATATCCTCCAAGATTTTGTGAGAGCCCATTTTATGCCTGTTTCCTCATTTCCCGTTGTCTGTCGCATTATCCAATCTACTGCAATCAGGAAAATCAGTGGCGATATTATATAGCCAGCCAGCTTGTCTTTCTCCCGTCTTCACTTCGAAGGGTTCTGTGAGTTTCCCGTTGTGAATTACTTGTCATGAAGCATCGTCGTACAACTGTTGGATGGGATTTATAATTGTTGGCGACACGCAGTGGTAACGAAGTAGTTTCCGAATCACCTCTCGACCGACCATGTTGAAGGACATTTCAAAGACGATGAAATGGAGATGGAGAGCTGACTGACTGCCATTCCAAGCCCCGTGTAATGGTGATCCGTAGTGTTGCGATTTGATCGATGCATGATTTGTTCCTTCTGAATCCAGCCTGTTCCAGTCGAAGTTTCCGATCCAGGGTTTGTTTGATTCTCTCAAGGATGATGCGACCTAGTATTTGGCTTGGGATGGGCAGGAGCCTAATTCCGCTCCAGTTCTTGTATTCACTTAAATCTCTTCTCTTTGGCAGTTTGAATAGGCAGCCTTTCTTCTAATCCTCAGGTACCTTGCTCTCTTTCTGCACCTTCTTCAGCATTGGCGTCATCAAGTCCGCTGTTGTCTATGGGTCCATTTTCAATGCCCCTGCTGGGATTCCGTCTGGTCCTACTGCTTTTCCAGCTTTTAGCATCTTGATTGCATTCAGGACTTCTGATTTCGTCGGGGGTTCGATCTTCACTGATAGTTCTGGTTCCGTTGTTGGTATTGTTGGGCGCGTTGTGGGTGGCGGTCGATTTAGAAGTCTTTTGAAGAGTTCAGCCCACTTCTTTGGTGATTGACTTTCCATTGTCATCCTTTACTGGCTTAATCTGTGTTGAACTTTTGCCCGATAGGTGCCTAGTTGTTTGGTAGAGTGTGGCGAGGTCTCCTTTGCCTGCAGCTTGTTCTGCTTCACTTACCATGGCTTCATAATACTTTCTTTTGTCTTCCCTGGTACTCTTCTTTACTTTGTTTTTCAACTCCTGGTTTTTTTGTTCATCGATGCACTAGACAATCTCTTGTTTCACCATCCTTCTCTTTTCTATCAGTCTCCTTGTGTCCGTAGTGAGTCACTGTTTGTCCTGTCTCTTCTTTCTGCCTAAAACGTCCTTGCGAGTGTGACTCCACACTGCTTTCATGTTTTTCCAGTGCTAACCAACTCTGGTCTCTTCGTTAGTGTTGATTTGTATCTCCACCTTTTTCCTTAAGTTTGCAGTGAAGGTGTCCTTTGTATCCTGATTCTTCAGCTTATGAGTATTGAACTTAGCTTGTGATCTATCTACGACTCCTGTTTGTTTGAAAGTTCTTAATTTGATTTGGAGTATTCTCTGCACGAGATAGTGGTCTGAGCCAACGTCCACTCCCCCTCTTACTTTTGTGTCCAGTAAGCTGTGTCTCCACTTCTTTGATCAGCATTGAGATGAAGTCGATTTATGTTTTGGTTCGCCCATCTGGTGTTACCCATGTTGCCTTGTCGACATCCTTGTGCTTGTATACGCTGCCACCATTCACTAATTCATTGAAAGTACATAAGTCAGATAAGAGTTCTCCGTTTTAATTATTTAAGAGCTTCTTTACTCATAATGAGTCCTCTTCCTGTGTTGTTTGGTTCCAGTTTTGCTTTCATGTCTTTCATCAGGATTTCAATGTCACCAACTAGAGTTTTGCTCACTTTGCCTGTAGTTGTCTGTAGAACTCTTCTTTCTTCTTGAGATCCGCGTTGTTTGCGGGTGCATGGCATTGCATAGCTGTCACTTTCCTTCCTTTTGAGTTGAGTTTGGCGGTCGTTATCCTGGGCGAAATCGCCTCCCATCGTATCATGACCTTAGCTGCCGTTGGTGACATCATGATAGACACAGCCTCGTTGTGCTCGTGGCTGTCTTCTAAGAGTGAACGGAATAGATTGTCTCTCTCACTGACAATTTGGTGAGTCCACCCCATTATATTTGCTTTCGCATATTCCCAGTACTTGAATTCATTTTCATTTCGTTTTCAGTCTGGGCAGCTTTCCGGTTTCACACATTGTGCAAACGTTCCATTTCCCCTAACAGATTTTTTCTTTCGTCGCAAGGAGACTCATCGTACTGAAGTTTCTGTAGCAGCCTTGTTTATAGGATGAGATTGCTAGCCTCACGCTTGACAAGGGGATTATTACATTAAAATATAGTTTACAGAGGAGCGACGCTTTTAGTTGCTTCCCCTAGAATCAGGAAAACAAGGAATAAAGCAATCAGAACAACACCAGCAAAAGGAAAAAATGAAAAGTTTTACAACAGGAAGAACAGCCACACCAACAAGAAAAAGTCCGTTGTAGTAGCAGTAGTATCACTGTCCAATAAAGTTATGAAATATAATATCAAAACCATAGACTCACTGACTTGGGTCAACCTGGATATGTAAATCCAACAATATATACAATCATAGATATTAGATAGTGTTAAACAGTCACACCAGAGAAATAAGGGTTTTATGTAAATAAGCATACCTATAGCGTACTAATCGGAAAGCGCATCAGGGTCAGGTTTAAATATGTCATACAACTAGTTAGCTACTAACAAAGAGTGAATCGCTATAAATGTATTGTGACAACCGATTCCCGAGTACCACATATATAAATCTGTGAATATTTTATAAGGTGGGCACTACTGGAAAGAACATGTAAGTAGTATGTAGTGTGTGGTGTCTTTTGTGAATAAAGAAGGCACTATTTCTCAACGGTGATGGAGAGAAATGAAAGATTCTTGTGAAACAAGAGAAAATCTGAAAGTGTTACAATGGATGCACAATATGTGGAACATATTGAAATAGAGATTTTCACGTAAATTATATGCATTCTTTCATATTTAGTGCGTCGGTGGCACAGCGGTTAGGACGTTCACCGACCATGCACATGGTCCGGGGTTCGATCCCCGGCCGACGCACACCTTTACCTCGCTAAGCCAGAAATAATCCCGGTAAAGAGGAAGGGTTGGGCATGGGGCTAGCAACCCCATCCTGTAAAGACAAACACTGCTGCAGAATCTACAAGTCTGTAGCTTGAAGTCATATGTTCCACTTGGAACGTGAAGGAAAAAAAATTCTTCCATATCTGTTCATGAATTCACCAGCACACAGTTCCACCATAGAAAGCCGTCGTGTTTCACCTTCACATAACTATCCTACACAGGTGTAGCTTCTTGTGAAGTCTATAAGACCTTAGACCTAAAGTTCGAGCTTGTTGGAAGAAGAATAAACCTAACAGGATTAAATGAGCTCATCATTATTATTTCGTGGTGTCAACCAGAACAATACTAAAATACTAGATGCAGAATCGTTTCAAGCACACTTTTCTTCGGTTGATAAAAAGTAATTGATAGAAATTATAAGTAACGCAGGTCTAGGATGGCGTTGCTGTTAAATTGTTAAGAGTTGAACCCATGCATCGCGATAGGTCATCTAACACTATGTCCACATAGCACGCCTGACTGATTGAATTCAGTCCGCACTAACACCAAGAATTAGACAGATGATATTAGTTACTGTCTGTTATCCAATGGAAGTATATGGCATTCATTCATCAACAGCATTAAGGTCAGTTTATTTTTTTTCATTTTTGATTACAGCTTGATTCCACACCGTATTTTTGGTATAAGTATGAAATTTTCAGCATGGATATCGGTAGCCCAAATTTTGCAGGCCGATATCAGGTGTGCATCGGCAGGGGATCGAACCCCCTAACCATGTATATGATTGGCAAGAGTCCTAATCGTTGTTTCACAGACACACACACTTTGCTTAGACCAAGGCAATAATATCAGATGCACTTCTGATCTGAAGGAATTCTTCTAATAAACCAGCAGCAACAACCGTTTACGCGCAACGTATGCATTGGTGGAAATTGATGGCGATGAAAAATTGATGCAACTACACCAAACCAGGCCGTCGAATGGAATTCAAAAGAAAAAAGTGAGGAGTTGTGTTTCTGACGCTGATATGGAGATCAAGTGAAAATGAAATGATAAAAGCTTGCGTGCAGCCGTGGGGACAGCTAAATATTATGCTGGGAAAATCGCATGGAAGGTGTTATCACACCTGCATTCCAAATCCCTATCATTTGTCCTCAGAGAAGTGAACACTAATCACAGGAGGAAAAAGCAAGTGAGTGCTTTTATAATTATCTTATTTTGGCGAAATAATTTCATGTTTTTGTTTTAGTGTAGAAAAATAAGTGGTGACATCAGTAGACAAGGTCACTGACACATAGCCTCAACTGACAACATGGTTCCCACGTTGTTCACGATTCTGAAACCAGTAAGTAGAAAGCGTTCTGTGATATCTTTATGGAGGCTACCGCTTTCTGTTCATGCTTCTAACATCGAAGAAAATATAACAACTACAAAACATTCCTGATATTCCTCGGATGCATTGTGATGGACAGTGAAATTGAGGCACCAATATGCTCCTGCAGCAAAAACTGGCCAAATGAATAATCCAGTGGCATTATTTTTCACTGAGTATATCCGTTCACTAAGGTAGATGAATTTCTCTGAGGTCGCAGATATTCTCTAATGAAGAGTAGTAATATGTGGGTTGTCTGTGGAGGTAGGACGTTTGGTCAACTGTCTTCAGTCAACCAACTAACTGTTATCTTTAAGTCTTGCTGATGAGATACAATTCACTGGGAATAATTAATTTCTTCTATTTAGAAATTACTAAGAAAGTTTTAAACTGACTGTTCGTGAAAATAGTTCCACTTTGAATTGAAATTTTTTGATTTTCCCGCCGATTGATTGGACTGAAGTGCTCGGTCTCAGGTTGACATGCATTTCTGAGAAATGCAGGTACATCCAGATGACGAGTCCCAAATAGGGCGAAATGCGCATTCTGCATTCCACTGCTAGCCACCATCCACCAATTGTATAATAGTTCCACTTCGCCAATTTATTCTGAATAAATGCAAAGTAATTCATAGACTTAGTGCGTGACAAAAGGCATTTCGAACAGCCTGTAGCAAGCAGACTTTGATTAAAATCTGCCTTCGCTGACTCGACAGTGATGTTGAAATGGGCTGCACGGGTCAGTAACACGGAATTCTGAATACATGAAAACGAAGAAGCGGTCACCCAACAAATACTGAGCACCAAATAGACATGGACTGAATGTACCATGTTAGGAACGTTATGCGATATTGTGCATCAGACCTTTGAGTGAAACTCGAATGAGAAACGACTAGTTGAGTGTTGGTTCAAAGTTGACATGGAAAAAATCGTGTGGGAAGAAATCAAATCATATCGACTATTAATACTTCAAGGTATGAAGCTTGTCAGAGTGTCTGAACGCAGCATTTGATGAAGTTGGTTCGAGTCTTGAAAAGGACATTAGTTCCTTTATCGTTGCAAGTACGCCTTGATGATGATGATGTCCAAGATGTATCAAACGTTGTTTATAGGCTTCTTTCAATGTATATCGACATCTTTCTTACAACAACTGGAATATTTTAGTGTCAGTATCCATGGTCACAGAGTTAACAAAATGTATGAGTATGTGTTTAAGGGTTAACTACCTATATAAAAGTGATTTTATCATCCCCACAAATTATACAACACAGAGCATACAACTTTATGACGAGTGCCGAAAGGGAATAAACCATTCGGAAAGAATTTTATTCAACCTGGAAGTGGCTGTAGATTTTATCAGAGCGCGGAGAACCTTACGCCCGTAACATTGCGTTTGACATAAGAAAATATAATTATGTAATTTTTGTAATTGGTTTACTCCAAGAGTGGTCGATCTAGGGCGCAGATACCTTAGCAATAAGGGAAAACCAAATACTACATTATGGATAAGATTTTATTTTCATAAACCACACTGTATTTACAGTAATAATAACTGATGACATTTCGAGCAAAAATTATTGCTCATAATCATATTGATATGACCATGATTTATCAAAATAGAATATGATTCATAATGGAGTTATACTTTACCACAGTCACCAAGTTTTATACCTATGTCAGTGGAAACCAGATACCTTTTTACTTAAAGTATAACAATAAAAATACTAATGAAAAGAACAAAAAATATAGTTTAGCGAAACTATTTTCTGAGAATTTATTTCCTTTAACTGTATAACCAAATTCATATCGTATTTTCAAACAATCCCTAGATGAAAAACTTCGACCGGAACAAGCTGGATTCAGGAGAGACAAGTCATGTATTGATCAAATCGCCACACTAAGGATCATCATTGAACAAAGCTTGGAATGGCAGTCACCTCTCTATCTCAACTTCATCGACAGCGACAGCGTTGATCGAGAGGTGATTTGGCAACTACTTCGCTACTACGGGGTCCCATCGATAATTATACATCTCATCCAACAATTATACGACAATGCTGCATGCCAAGTAATCCACAACGGGAAACTTACGAAATCCTTCGAAGTGAGGACGGGAGACGGCAAGGCTGTCTACTATTGCCAATGATCTTCCTGATTGCAGTAGATTGGATATTGAAACAGACAACGGGAAATGAGGAAACAGGCATAAAATGGGCTCTCACAAAATCTTGGAGGATATGGTCTTCACCGATGATATATGTCTGATTTCCCATAAACTGGAAGATATGCAAGTGAAAAGCAACAAGCTGGCAGAAGAAGCATCAAAGATAAGAAATAATTCAGGTGAACATGGAGAAAACAGAGGTGATGAAGCTTCCTGGCCAACAGCAACAACAACAACAGATGACAGTCAGCATAAATGGAAGGAACCTTAAAGAGACAACCTCCTTTACCTACTGACCTACCTGGGAAGCATCGTTTCAACTACAGGCAGACGGAACTCACGAGGATATCAAAGCCAGAATCGAAAAAGCAAGACAAGCTTTCATTACCCTTAAGTCCGTGTGGAGGTCAACAGGACTCAGAATCAAAAATAAGATCCAGATTTTCAACTCCAATGTGAAGTCAGTGCTACTTACTATACGTATCAGAGACTTGGCCAGGGCGTCATAAAGAGCATCTCAAACAAACTTCAGACCTTCAATAAGAGTTGTCTTCGCTCAATACTACTCAAGATCAGATGGTTTTCGAGAAAAGATCAGCAACAGGGATCTCTGGGGGCGAACCAACCCAGCAGGAACCGATTGTGAAACAAATAGGCAGGAAGAAATGGAGATGGATTGGCCATACGCTGAGGAAACCATCAAGTGACATCACTAGACAAGCCATTGCTCGAGTGTAGCCTGAAAGGGAATCGGCGAGTTGGTCGTCAGTGCAAGGGTGACTTGGAGGAGGTCATGTGAAGAGGAGATGAAAGCATGTTGGGCAGATTTGGAGCAGGGTGAAAAAGTTGACAGAAAACAGAAGGCAGTGGAGATGCGCAGTTGAAGCCTTATGTTCCTCTAGGAATTAAAGGATATAATAATAATAATTTTCAAAAATAGAGGATAGTAACAAAATCGATTATTTTTTATAATCATATAAGCTACAAGAAGGTAGAAGCTGGAATTCACAGGCCACTGAGTCTTGTCTCCAAACCTGAATATTCTATGAGCTCGCATGGTAACCCGAAGGTCATGCGCTCATGACCAGTGTTTATGTAGTGTCGAGGACGTCCAAACTAGGACGAAAAATCATGATAATACTTCAGTAGTTTACACACTGATAATTTCCTCATTTCGGTATTATTTCTAACAAAATTACTGCCCATGATCGCACCAACTTTTCAAATTTATTTGTTTTTAATTCACACCTTTATGATTTGTACTCATGCATATACTTCTCTATTCATTTATTCCTTTTTGTAGATCCACACTTGTATTCCGTGTTGTTGACAGCTGTGTCGGGTCACCCTTGTTACCTGGTGTTACCGGCGTGAGCTTAATGCGTTTAGGATTCTGCCATATTAGCCCCTCTTTCCATTTGCTCCAATCAATGTTGTGGCTTTTATCTCCCATGCATGTGCAGCTGTGGTGAGAGCAGGCTGCTAGCCAATTGGTAGACATTAATCCACGTCAATGTCTAGGTCACTAATATTGGCCGTGAGAAAATATGAACAAAGCTGATTCAACAACCAATCACAGCAGACTTAACGTGGGGAAATATAATTCGCAGATAGATGGCTCCACTTTCCGAGGTTACCCGAAACAACCAATCAGAAGGCTGCGTTTGTCTACTTGAATAAGCTGTAATAATGTACAGGAAATATATGTAAATATGTGTTGATTTCCGTAATAAAACAATCTGTTACCTGGCCCTTGTCTTCTGTTGTTACACAGTTACAGACGAAATTTCTTCTAATTTATTATAAGCTTTTGTTCCTGTTGGAAGAAGACCTTTAGTTAAGTGTTTATGTTCATTCACTCTTATTTTAAGTGATCTGGACATTTGACTCACATATTTAGTGGGATATTTGGTACAAGATATTCTGTAATTTACATTATTTTTATCCATCATCTTTATTGTATTCTTTTTAGTTAATTCATTTTATTTCTCAATTGATTCGTTGGTTTGAACGTGGTACGAATCCCAGTATTTTGAGGTTTCTTCTAATTGCCTCTGATGTACTTTTCTTTTATGATATATTGTGACCGTCTTTTTGCCATTATCTTTTTTGTCATTCCTTGTTTTTACCCACTTTACTCTTCTTCATATAATCTCTGATATATCTTTTTGGGTAATTGTTATCGAGTAACATTTTGAATGAGACAATTATTTCTTTTCTTCAATCATCTAGTGTTATTGCAAGTCTGCGTATTCTATCTGCAAGACTTTGTAATAATCCTCGTTTAACCGTGAGTGGATGAGCTGAGTGATAATCAAGGAATGTCCCAGAATGTATAGTTTTTCTATATGGCGTCATTTTTATGCTACCATCTGTTACTCTCATTACTTTGCAGTCTAACATAGGCAGTTCTTCATTTTCACTGTCCATTTCCATAGTGAGTTTTATTCAGTCTGGATGACTGTGTTTATGTGTGAGATATATTTCTAAATATGATTATTTTTCATTATTACTTAAGTGTCATCTACATATTTCCAACAACATTTTATTGATGACATGAATGGTTTGAGTGCCTTCTCTTCCCGAAATTCCATGAGTATGCCAGCTAATATCAGTGAGATGGGAGACCCCATGTCTACCCCTTCGTTTTATTCGTATATTTTTCCTTCAAATGTAAAATATGTTGCTGTTATACAGAATTCAGCACCTTTATCATCTCTTCTATCGATAATTGTGTCCTGTCTTCTAGGTCATCATCTTCGTTTAGTCTCGTTTTCAGTGTAGTCATGGCTATTTTGAGCATAGAGACTGTGTTAATTCCTTTTAATTTAGCTGTTCTTAATTAATCTTTCTTTTTTGTTTAACTTCATGCTACTTATCGTTGGTAAGTAGGATGGATGCGTTTTACACCTTGAAACTGACATTCTTCTCTAATGAGAATTAACTCACTTAATGTGTTTACACTCTGTTTGATGTATTGTGATTATTTTCTTATGGTGGAACATTATTTGCTTTATATGCTTCATTCGTGTACCCTTTAATTTTGAACATTGTTCATCTGTATCCCTTTATTCTGTGTCTGGCATTCGCAAGCTATTTGAACGAAACGTCGTGAATCACCCTTCACACAATTTTTCTGTCTTTACGTATTGATGCATACAGACTGTGCTTTTTAACGGCATTCAGAACGGACACCTCACAATTGAAGCTTGTTAGTATTATATTTCGTATTTCATGTTAAATATATAGTACCGTATTTTAGACAAATCCTGTGTTTTCGCATTTTACGCGTCACTCAACGTCTGGTTTTAATTATCATTAGATTATCGTCCCGAATGTTTGGGAAGAAATTACCAACAACTCCATGCAGCGCTCTTCTCCAGTAAAATATGCATAGTATTGTTTAATGAAAGCTTAGACGACAATGAGTCTGACAAAGAGAGTATGTAGGGTGGAAAACGATTTGAGCTGAGACGCTGAAATCAATGAAGCGAAGATGCATGTTTGTGAGTATACATCACTGACTCGTATTTCACGTGGCGAAAACTATCGTTTAGACAAATAAATTAATGGTTGGAATTATAATATGTTAAACATGATCATATGAGAGTAAACTCCAAAAAAACATTTAATTATTCACTGGATAATTTAAACATGCAATGACAATGAAAGTTAGTAATGTGTTCAAAACAGAAAGTCATGACTAATCGGGAAGTTAGGTGAACAATTGTTACTAAGAAAGAAAGCGCAAATTTAATGTCTCAAATAAATTATATGTTAGTTTGAATTAATTATCACTTCAGCTGGTAAAATAGTTGGCGAAGGAGTTTGAAGTTTCAGACCACTCCTCTTCAGAAATCTAAAAAACACAACGGAATATTTTGAAATCTTCAGTGAAGGATTTGGTGCGCGCTGTTACTACAACAGAAATACACAAAATGAATATTGTAATTTGCATGCTGAATAAAGCTCACTCTAAATTTGATTGTTTGGCTGTTAGCAGCGTCGGATGACCGCCTAAATGGTTCTTTCATGAAGTGTCACTTTCCCTGTTAGTGCGTCTAATTACCATTTACTAATTTTAACCTGCGCCTTTGTTCTAATTCACATGTGGTTAGCAGACACAGCTTAACTGCTCGATTCATTCCTTCGAAGTGTATGTGTGTAGCACAGTAGACGAGGAATTGATTCATGGGTAAAAATACATAGACGTTTTGTTCAACCCCAGTGTCCATTGTTAATTCATAATTCAATGTAGCATATTCGTATCAGACGCTTATTCTAGTAGTATACCTGGCTCTGGGATTAATTTTGGAACTTGGAGATGCCTTCAGAGATGAAGAAGTGAATCACTGATTATATCAGCACACTATGCATCTTCGTATTTCATCTGAATTGAAATTATTATTGAGATCTAAAGTGATGACAAAATTTCCTTTGATTCTACTGTTGTCCGTAAATTTCATATTGATTTTTTTGATGAATTTCAGGTTTGTCTAACATCATGTTTCAGATAGAAGGAGTAAATAAACTACTGGTCAATCTGATAAATGTCTTGCATTATCATCATTATGGATGAGTTATTCCTGGCTAAGTGTTGAGCACATGAATTTATTCACATCCTGAGAGAAATGCTTAAATATTGTGATAACTGCATGACATCTAATTGTGAGATTATATATTTTGTAACCTCATTTGTGAACACTGAAATCACAATTATTAAATTTTTGATCAACATACCGTATTCGATTCTCTAATCATCGCGGCATGTTATTTCTGGAAATGAGTGAAAATATCTCTGATTAGAGTAGACTCCTACGAAAGGAAATTTGACGTGTCTCCAAGATGTACAACACTACTTAGTAAAGGTGTTCTGAGCACTCAATACGAAGTTATAATAATTTACTCACATAACTTCTTGTCTTCCATTTGTAACTTTTCAATAATATTATGATAGTAAAGGTATCCTGCAGTCTCACTTAGTCATTTCGTTTGCATATGTATGCATGTATATATACATCTAGTTCGATACGAGCATTTTGATTCGTTTGATAGCGAAATAACCAGTTCTTTTTTGTACAAGGAACAATTTGAAGGTTTGACAGTTCGGTAATTTCTCTTTGCAAAAGTCAGTTTTATCAAAACATTTCAGTCTAATCACTGTATTCAGAAAAATAATGTGATCAATCTCCCACTAATCTGGTAACTAGATACCTCTTGCTGTTTATCTATTTCGTGTTTCGACACAAGTGCTTCTTTACTTTCATTGAAGTCTAAGCTGAACTCATTACAAATCTTCCAATTTACTCAAGTGTTTTTACGTAATAATTTAGTTTTCAAATCCCTTAGGAGTTCATTGTTAACCTGTCCTTTCCACCTTGTCATCATATCGTGCATAAATTAATTCTAGTTGTTAAGTCATTAACTGTTTCGTATTCATTTCACTTATTCTGCTGTTATACCTACTGAGTTGAAATAATTTCTGAATTATGCCATCTACTTCCATCTATTATAACTTATGTCCTCTTTAGGTTGTCAGCAGTTGAAGGAAGGCTGCCTTGTCGTGGTGGTCGGGCTTGAATACCGTAATGACCCAACATGCTAAACTGACTGGGACTTTATCCCTGCAGGTCCTACCATGTCAGGAAGGTTTTCTGGATAGCGGTTAAACTGAAAGCAGTTACCATGGGGTACATGGGCTCCAGTATCCAATCGTATCAAATGGCGTATGAACCCATATAGGTCACCGGGAACCATGCGAATGCAGCTCCTGGCGCTGCTCCGCTGCCTTGCGGATCAGATTCCAAATCAAAGGCTCGGGGGTGGTCCCTTAAGAAAACCACCTGCTTCGATCTGGGCGCCCGGGCAGTATCTCAGCCTTCACACAATTGATTGAATGAAGCAACAAACAATCAATGAAACTTATCACGTGCTATTACACGTGTTGCAATTTCCTTCTTTCTTCCTTTCCCGATGATAGTTAACTAATACTGTTTGAACTTGTTAAGCATGACTGTTTTCTTTCCAGATGAAGTTCTTTATCCGCTCTCTACTTATATATATATATATATATATATATATATATATATACTCTTTCTTTTTTTCTTTTGATCTATGTTGTTTTATTATTATTGTGTGGTGCATCCATCTTGGTGCCATATTGTACCAAGTTTTTATGCGTTTAAATAAATAAGTAATCCTGCAAATATATATTCATTCTTGCTTTGTTCAAATTCATTTGAGCAGTACAGCACTACTCCTACTCATACATTACGGATAAGATGTAAGATTCAGAATTTTCGTCGATGGCTAATTATCCATGACAAACTAACTAGGCTTATTCATTTCCTTTTTTTCAATTAATTATATCAGTTTGTTGGCTTCAACTACATGGTCTGGCATTTCCATATCTACTGTGTTGCATAGAATTATAACCTTCAGGTCAGAGGACACTGGTATTCTTCTTCCTCCGATTTCAGATAGACTTTCGCTGTTTGTATTTTAACTTCATCAGTACCAGCCATTTCATTTTGACTGGTTACTAATTTTCGCCCAGTTTTAACATTTTGATTTTAAATTATTGACTCTGAAGTCGAGTGGTTTCTTTTTAATCCACTTAAGCTTACTTGTGATCATTCATTTTGCTGCGTGAATAGTTTGATGAGGAATAGTCTTTTCTCACTGTATGATTTACAAATTATTATGGAATTACATACCACCATGGTGTGAAGGTTTTGCATGCATTTTATTATGTAGGATTTACGTATAAAAATGATCAGATAAAGAAGAAAAAAAAACTCCTCGATGGAACTTACGTTCCCCGTTGGGAAGTTCAATTACACCTACAATTCGAAATGAATTTTGAATCATAAAAAGAGAGAAACAATTTTACAGAATAACCTGGAATCATCGACTGGTCTCAGTTCTCAAACGGTGTACTGAGTGAAAAAAATACGTAAAGTTATTAGTGATAACGGCCCAAGGATCGGTTGTTTGCGACCTTCGGAATGTTTTGACAAGTGAAAATGTAACATTCATTGAAATTGATGCACAATAAAGTCAGTAGTCATACTATTAGAGTTAAAAATCCCGGCGGTATAATTTTGAAGTTTTGATATAGTCAGACAAAAGGTTCTGACTTCTGTTTCTAAATGTGTGGGGCCAGAAAACACACAAGTATATTCAGCGACCTGATAAACTGAAACTTGATAATGAAAAGCTGCGACCAAACTTCGGGTTTTTGCTTTCGTATCTGGTGCTGGTATTAGGTGAAATTAATTTATGGGGATGTAGCTAGTTTGATTGGATTTCAGCCACCCATGTAGTTAATGGTTCCATGGACGGTAGTCAGGGTAGTGTCACATGCTGAAATAGTTGAGAAATTTATAGAGACTAAAATATGTGGGAAAATGTCCTATGTCATCGTTGAGACTCATCAATGCGGTGTTCGAAATATGACTAGAAGCATTTTCCGCTACAGTGAGTTTAAGGACAGTTCCCGTGAAGTATACGATACTTATCATCCAATCATCGTTTAACTGGCTCTAATATTTAGTCGAATACTCAACTTCTAAATGCTTTGAACTGCATAAAGCGAACTTTTATACTGAATTAAATTTCACCACTAACGTTGGTATGGCTATAAGGAACACTGTCACAAGAGATGTCTTGTGTAAGTCCAGTGGTATCCTCTCACTTTGATTTTCTTATCATTACATCTATTTTATTGCTGCAAAAATTATTCATAGCTGACTAGAGAATATATTGGAATATGTGTCAATGTAAACTTCTCTGAATAATATATATAGGTATAACTTTAGAATGTAAAGAAAACGATGAACTGATTCACTCACTCGTTGTCACAAGCAGTGGCTTCACTGTATTGTGATGAGAGAGAAAATATTTATGGGAATAATGAAAAGTGGGGTTACAATCAACCATTCATTTTAGTTTTCACAAAAAAGTGATAGCCTCATGCGGGTATTTAGAATATCTCAATGTATTTCTACCAGAGAACCAAACATTTGTTGAAAGTTTGAAGGGAGATGTACAGGCGTCCGAAAAGCTGAGGAAGTAACAAAATTTACTGGTGGTTGAATACTATTTTTTGACGTAAGTGACCGGCGAATTCTAATGATGTGTTTGACATCAATAGACTTAGAACACTTGAAAGTCAAAAGCTGTTGACAGTAGTTTACACATTTCTTCAAAATAAAGGCATTCAATATGCGCACTACGTGACTGTATGAATGATCTACGAGAAA